GAACAAACAACCAGGGAGTACTTGCAATGGGAAGTGGACGAAAAGGTCATTAATTTCTTGCTGCCCACAAGTCATTCCCCTCATGAAGGGTTATTACTGTTTGCATGAATGTTAAGGCTCGTTCTCTGGAGTGTTCTCCTGCTTGGCTGCGCGTCGCAGCTGGGCAATGTTGGAGGCACAACACTCGGAACAGAATGCAAGGAGGCCATATTGCCAGAACTGGGAATTGGCATACAGCGCCAAGTGTGCGTTCTTGATAAAGGTGCACTGCGGATGACCCTGCGCCAGGAAGGCAAACAGTTCAGCTAGCGGCGCAGCTAGTGCATTGCTGACCAGTAGCAGATTCCCTTTTAGTTCTGTGTGCACTTCGTTCGGGATGTGCCCGAAGTAGGCACCTCGCAGCTCCTTCTCAGCGACCCGTCTCCAAAGGGCTGATGCGGATGTATCTGTTCACTTGTTTATAAGAAATGCACAGCCTGGCCATTGGCCATTCGCGGTAGGTCGCTGTACACATGCATCGGTGGCTGCACAGTACCTTGCACCGTGGCCGCTTGGGCAGCTGCTTGATGGCTACAAATGGCGTGCATGGCCACTTGCTCTGCCGCCAAGCCTAGATCTGTTGCAGCAGTGTCCCCTTGTTCTGTTTCTTGGTGCTCGGTGGCTAGATCAATTTCTGCAGGCTGCTTTTTGCTCCCGTGCTCTAGAGGGGCTGTATGATGGCGTTTGGAAGGGCAGTGCATCGTCCTGGATGCGTTCGGCCTATGGGAACAGGAGGGGCGATCGCTGAGGCTTTCACCCTCTGCCTCGTGGGCAGTAGCTGCCCATTTGGGAATCACCGTCAGCAACACTTTGAGAGCTGGGCAACGTGGCTTCTTCTGCGAGTTCTGGTGTGGCGCTGCTAACCGACACTACTTCACCAGCTTCGCCAGATGCCATGGTGACATCTGTTGCCACCGGTAAGGGCAGAGAGGCATCTTGGTGGATCAGCCTCCTCTGTTTCCGCATCCGATACAGCCAGGACCGTGGTGCTGGCAGGTTGGCTGGGCCAGTAGCACCCTTGGATCAAGAGTTCTACCTCCAGCGGCAGGACGAGGTCCGAGCCAGGTGCATTTAGCACAGGCTCCTGGCGCCACGCATTACAGAAATAGATTTTGTGCAGAGCCTCAAAAAAAGTAGGCCTGCGCCTTTCTGCCTGACCAGCGCTTTGCTGGGGTTGATATCTCTGGGAGCACCCTACGCTGCACCGACGTCCCGGGCTTTGCTTTTGTGGAGCAGCTGCAGTGGCTGAGAATCTCCCCCCTCTCCGATATGCCCCGCCGCTTCAGGTTTCCATTCACGAGTCGGTGGCCTGCTTGAATCCGGCTCCACCGTCTGTTGGTGTGCAGAGAGATGGAAGGTCTTGGACGTCAAGTCTTAAGATATTCCAGTTCGACCCGGTGCCCAGAGAGACATTGCTTGCTATGAAACTTTGGCCCAAGGGTTTCTTGTTCTCTTGTGTTTAGCGATTTGCTGAACAGTTTGTATCCTACTGCATTTTCAGAGCCTGAGTGATAACATTGCTGCCGAAGCAACCGGCAATAAGCTCTTCACGACGTCCGCTCCGCTCTGTTATTTTGTTGAGCATTTAGCTTCCATTTTAGTTTCCGAACGAATCAGCTGCGATATCTCACACATTCCGGGTCCCTTGAATGTTGATGCAGATCTCCTCAGTAGATGGGATCTTGAATCAGAACTCCCCGCCAAGTTCGCCTCTGCACATAGGCATCGCATGAGCCTGCCAGGCTTCTTTCGGTTTCACCGCTCGGTAGCGGTTCACCCCTCTAGCTTCCCGCTGCAGTGGCCAATCGGCCAGCCATGAATTCATTTTGAGTGCCAACGTCCACTCAGAGCGTCCTGGGATTGGTTTACCGAGTGTTGTTGGAAGAGCTTTTGGTGTAACATCCCAACAACTCTCGACGAATTCTGGCAGTGAAAATGAAGTTAGCGCGTTAGAGCTGGAGAGAAGCTGTGGATGTCTTTATTGAACATTGTAAGTATTTCTAGAACGTTGGTAGTGATCTTTCACGTGATGTTTTAGGTACTTACATGTTCTGTGTGCCACTTTGGTTCTAGGATACGTCAATGTTCAGCCCCTCCCTCCTCTACCCTCTATAGCTTCTCTCTATTTAGTCACCACAGGTCACAACGACCGCAGGCGTGATGCTGATCCATTCAGCGCTGAGCCCGACACATCTCAAGGATGTGAACGCGTCACGGTCAAAACGACCGAGGGATGTTCCAAGGTGTAACATCCCAACAACTCTCGACGAATTCTGGCAGTGAAAATGAAGTTAGCGCGTTAGAGCTGGAGAGAAGCTGTGGAAGTTTTTATTGAACATTGTAAGTATCTCTAGAACCCGGCTGCTCGTGGGAATGCCAGATCTGAATGCGCTTTCTGCGCCGGACGCACAGTCTCGAACAACTGACGGAGCACGGCAGAGGATTAGAGTCTTTTGGTGAACACCCACCTGGCTGTGAGAATCTGACACGATGCTCAACGGCAATGTTTTGTTTTTTTTTGAAAAGTAAAACGGGAGGGATGTCGAACCTGGTCACCTTCGAGCATCACACCTCGATGCTCTTGCAAGAAGCGCCTCCTTCCAGCAATGCTGCTGGCACAGTCAGCCAGCTGCACACAAAAAAAGGGTTTGCCCTTCTCTCGGCTTCGCTGTGGTGTGGCTTCGAGAAAGTGTTTCGTTTTTCCAGAATGGTGACAGTGTGCTGCCACTTTTCTTGTTTCCAGCATGTGACTGGGTGATGGAAACCTGGCTCCAGAAAGGGAAGAAAAATCGATGGACCTTGATGTGGTTCTCAACATGGTTGTTCAGAGGCCACTGATGCATGGGGTCTACAAGGTCCACGACGGCATGCGCCTGAAAATCTTCTGGCAACTGACGCAGCCTCTTGCGAACCACAGCAGCCGATGTGCATTGTCCGCCGGAACAAGAATCTGGAAGTCCGCAGGTGACATCATCAATGCTCGAATTCCAGGCGTTGTGCTGGGTCATGTCGATCTCACTGGCAGACAGGCTCAGCAATCTGACACTCACAAGCAATCAATTGCACGGGCGCTGGCCTGCGATCGTGGATGTGATGCATGTGTTCAGGCAAGAGTCGAACGCAGGCACGACGACGGAAGGACGAGGAGTCGAGCACTTGTGGTGCATGTGTTGATCCCAGAAGTGGCGAAAAAAAGGCTCTGGTTCATGATCCAGAGAGGTTATTGAAGAGGCACTTGAAGAGGTGGGTGGTTTCAGGTGGGGGACGAGAACATTGACGTCGACATTTGCATGTGTGCCGCTGCCACCATATGGCCAAAGTGGACAATGATCTGTGACAAGCATGCTTGTCAGCAGCAGAGTGACCGGCCACACAAGGTGTGACTTTGCAAACAAAAGACAAACTTGAACCCAGGTTGCAGAGCCCCAAAAGGTGCCACGCCCAATGCCACACCAGTCCTGGCCGCGGAGGCCGCTTGAAAGACTTGGAGGCTCGTCATCCCATGCAGCTCCGAACAGGGTGAGGATGCCAAACCTTCACTGATCAGCTCATGAGCTCAAAACCACATTTTGCTGATGCAAAATTCAATTTGTTTGCTAGCCTCTGTGTTCTGGGCCCGGAGGTTCTTTCTTGACGCTTGGTCGAGGCACACCTTCACCAGTTCGGAGAATGGTGTGGGATGTTGTGCAGTCAACAGTTCTGGCAGTTTTGAAGTGTCCTTTTTGGTTAAAAAATTGACTTGCTTTGTCAAATGTTTTTCAACTCAACAGTCCGAGGCTTTGGCCATGTTTTGTGACCTTTGGAAGAATGCTGAAAGCCGAATACCGACCTTTTGACTCAAACGGGGGACTGTGAAAAGGTTTGCTGCGGCGTCTGTGTGTTTTCATAATGAAAAAGATTGTGTTTGCTGGTGGGTCACCAATTACTGCGCAAAGGCTGGCAGGCATGGACATTAAGATTGACGTGGTGGCAAAAACTTTAGCAAGGGCTGCATCGGCGTCACTTCAAAGTGGGCAGCGAAGCATTCACACAACATTCGGCAGAACGGATATCAGACGTAACGCGACAAAGGATGTTTTTTCATGTGGGGCTTTGGTTGGCAAGTTGTTGCTGGGAATCCATCGAGTGCCTACCTTTTTGCACTCATCATTCGTTATTTGCCTGCCGTGAAAACATGTTCTGCTTCCAGCAGGTGCTCGCATTATGCATAGGTGTCAATCGCAACTGAGCCCATCAAGTGTTGCATGACCCCTGAAGTGACAACGGTTGATAGGAGTGCTGCTATGGGCCAACCAGTGCCACGCCCAGCTTGAAGGAATGTCGCACGAAGAATTCGCGAGCATGGGGCACTTGACCCCTCCATGTCAAACATCTTGAGCTACGAACTACATGAAAACTGAGCCGAACCCCCGTTCACGATTGAAAGCAAGAAAATTCACAGTTTTCAAATGATGAAAAACGGTAGGTTCACGTGTGCAAACGATGTCCCTTGTAGGGCAACATTTGCATTGTTTTTTTAGCAACAAAATAGATTGCGTGACTGCCCTTCACAACCAGTTTCATAACACATGTTTTTTTGCAATGTTGTTTTCCAATTCTGCTGCTTGTTGCCTCAAGTGTCCTTAGCTGGAAGCATCCCAAATCTGGGATTCAATCCATGTATGTCTTGCATTGCTGGCGCATTGTCCGCGATTGACAGCTGGTCGCATCATCACATTGAGCGCTGGCTGCATGATCTTTTTGTTTCGGGGGCACTTTGGTGAATACATTTGCAATCAAGTCAGGACATTCTATACAGGATTTTGAAATGGTTTTCTGGTGTTCTGGTTTCTACGAAAAGCACATGCTAGGTGGATGCTTTAGCTATTGACTCGAAATTGTGTCCAATTTTGTCTTGGATAAATCAGGTTTTCTTTCTGCAATATTTCGTTGTAGTGACTTGGCGGCACTGGCCAAATTGCTGCAGGGGCTTTCCGGCAGGTTTTCCGGTTTGTCGACCGTACTGTAAGTGATGTTTGAAGACATGGGGGGAGTGAAGGCCTAGTTTGCACTCAGGAAACCTCACCATAGAATCACGATCGTTGAATTTTTGACTACTGTTGTCAGTTTGCTTGTGCGAGATCACGGCAAAGAGAGTAAAGACACACACGTACTTTTGATTTTGCCGATGTTGTGCCCAAGTGACTGCCAATGGTGCACTTTGCAAGGCTTTGGCACAAAGCTTGCCTCTCTCAGCATTGGGTTTGATTCTCCAGATTGATTTAGCTGCTTGACTACAAAGGGTACATGAAACTCAATCGTTGTGTGCACTTGGATTAAGCTGATAAGGTCCTGCGTTTCCCCGCCATGAATACGACTGGGTTGATTTGAAAACAGACACTAGATTCGGAATGAGGTGATTTGTGTTTAGCAATGCAGTTTGGGTTGAGTTGGGGTCTACAACAGAGTGACCACTTAAAAGCTAACGCGCTCAACTCTTGAGCATTTTTCACTTTGACTTGATTTAGGTTTCATGGTCCAAAGGAGGGTCCCCTTGATGCACGTGTATTGTACTGGCAGGGCTGGTACCAAGAAACTTTCAAAGTTCAAGAAGGTTCAACAGACCTTTGTGAAGTTCGCTGATTCTTAGTGGTTTGGTAGGATCCATTTTTGTCTCAAGTGTTGTGCCTTTGCCACCGTTCAAGAATCATTTGCTAATGCCCTGAAATGAGTGATCTTACAAGCACCTTCGATTGTGGACAACACGTGCCACCAATTGACCATTCTTAATCGTGATATCGTGCTTTCTGGATTCTGGACCTTGCCACATCAATGTCATCATTTGTGACATGTTGAACTCAAATCAAACCAAAAAGAATGCGCATATTTGAAACAATCACCCAAATTAATGGAACATAAGATGAAACATGCCAAAGAAAAGGATACCGAAAAGCATTGATAAACATTTTTTTAACACGATAATTGAATACCATTATCCAACGCAAATATCAATATCGAACATAATGAAAATAACGGAGGTAGCAACACCAACTCGAGCGCCCTGACATGCACATTGAGATATTCTCAGCCGATTTGTGTCCAACCAGTTTGTTGACAGCCGCCTCCAAGACATCTAGACTTGGACATTGTTAACAATTTGGGCATATTCGGTCCGATGTGCGAAAAAGTATGTTGGGACCAAAGAAAGGAAGGAATGAAGGAAAGAAGGCAAAAGAGACAGAGAAAGATAAGGAAAAAAGAGAAGGATAGAGAGAAAGAGGGAAAGAGAAAGAGGGCAAGAGCAAGAGGGAAAGAGAGAACCAGAGAAAGAGGGAACAGAGAAAGAGGGAACGAGAGAAAGAGAGAAAGAGAACGAGGGAAATAGAATGAGAGCAAGAGACAGAGAGAAAGAGAAAGAGAAAGAGAAAGAGAAAGAGAAAGAGAAAGAGAAAGAGAAAGAGAAAGAGGGGGAGAGAGTCATAAAGAGAAGAGAGAAAGCGAAAAGATAAAGAGCAAAAGAGAAGGAGAGAAAGAGAAGAAGAGAAAGAGAAAGAGGGAAAGAGAACGAGAGAAAGAGAAAGAGGGAAAGAGAAAGAGAGCAACAGAAGGAGAGAAAGAGAAGGAGAAAAAGATAAAGAGGGAAAGAGAAAGAGGGAGTGAGAAACATAAAGAGAGAAAGAGAGAGAGAGAGAGAGCGGGAGAGAACGAGTAAGAGGGAAAGAGAACGAGAGAAAGAGAAAGAGAAACAGAGAAAGAGAGAAAGAGAAAAATATAAAGAGAGAAAGAGAGAAAGAGAAAGAGGGAAAGAGAATCTTAAAGGGAAAAAGAAGAAGAGAAAAAGAGAAGGAGAGAAAGATACGGAGATAAAGAGAGACATAGAGAGAGATAGAATCATAAAGAGTGACAGAGAAAGAGAGAAAGAGAAGTCCAGAAGCAGAAAGAGGAAAAA